TATGTGAAACACCCTGATACACATAACGATATCAATCAGTGCAAGGAAAATTCTCTCTCTCTCTCTCTCTCTCTCTCTCTCTCTCTCTCTCTCTCCCTCTCTCTCTCTCTCTCCCACCGCGAAGGACGAGAGCTTGATGGTCCCGACTTATAGGCGCCCTTCTGAGGGGCAAGTTCACAATTTATTGGAACAGTTAAATATTTTCACTGATGGTTAAACCAACTGCAGTATAGGAAGCAATTTGTTGTCAATCCTAAGCAGAACAGTATTCTCCTTTACACAAAGATGTGCTTGTCAAGAGATTTCAGCTTCAATTTTCAATAGTGCGTAGGCCTACATAACAGGGCAGTGCACAGTGGCTACTGCCTACCAGCAATTGTGTGTAGATTTTCTATTGAATATTATTCTTGCATTTATGTATTAATTAAGGTACAGTATTTGTGTTCGCCATTATAAAATAAAATCCCAGGGAGATCAATTAAATGGAATTAATTCTTTAAAAAAATTCTTAGTTTTATTCAGTGTATTATTCCAAAATGTAGATCTGGTGCCAGCATAATTTTCGTCAATAAGTCGTGACTGAAATTGCGGTCGAAAGCGACACACGATAGTTTAGTTTAAGCCAGAAACTCTATGCTTTCATGCTAAGGGCACGCACGCGCGAAACAAGTAGGGCCTATTATACTAATATAAATGTAAACTATAACCAGAAGGCACAATGGCTTCGCAGGAGATAAATGATTATTGTATATCAAATTTCAAACTGGTTATAAATGAAGTCGTGTAACTTTCTACAAGTAAATACATTCTCTGTGAGCCAGGAGTAAAAGAGACGATTAAACTTTTAAAGTCTCATACGTCTGATATGCTCGAGGTGTCCGTCCGTCCAGCGATAACACTCATCCAACACAGCGCAAAACCGAGAGCAAACAGTGAATTAATACACGGTACTACTATAGACCTTGAACGAGCACAGGCCAGTTTCTACAGTAACATTCAATGTTCACGCTTGTTTAGTTTTTGTAAGAGTTTTACGGCACTTACAACACAATAAGGTCATGTAAGTGCCAAAGATAAGAAGTGTCGCAAGACAGTATAACAAACAAAAAAAGGAGAGATTAGGACCATAGATGTTTGGTAGGAAAGAAGGAGCAAACAACAAAAGAGTACCCTCCAACCATCCATTTGTTTGTCAAAAATCTGCTTTTGAAAATTTTACGGGAGGATTTTTAAATGCATTGCCAAAACAAACACATTCTGTAAAGCAGATATACTTACCAGTCAGTATCATTCGCTGTCATGCGTGTACAATAGTTAACATGACACTTAACATGTGTAATACAAAGTAGTTGGGTTCCTGTACAGCGTTAGGGTTTCCAATCGAAGGAAAAACAAAAACTAGAACAAACGTGATTAAGCATACTCGCATTTAAGTCGCATACACAATATCCCACGGATGGTTGTTCGGTAGAGATACACAGGTCAACAATTTAATCCAGGAGGACCATAACAACTGGTTACAGTTCGTCCTCATATCTTGTGGACAAAAAATTGTCCGAGGTCGCTCTGCTGGCAATAGTGGGATATAGCTGTGTTCTCAGAACAGATTTCTCTGTAACTATAGACTCGATTTGTGGTCTAGAAGTACAAGACTGGGGATGATGCGTTCACTGTACGAGAGAGAGAGAGAGAGAGAGAGAGAGAGAGAGAGAGAGAGAGAGAGAGAGAATCTATTTTAGTTTTAGTAAGAATTTTACAGCACTTGCAAGCACACGTAGTCGAAGATTAGAGGCGTTACTGTAGATAATTGTGTGACGTACACAGAAAAAGAGGAGGGATTAAGTAACAAAGATGTTTGTGAAGAAAAAAGGACCAGACCACACATGAACACCCACCAATCACCCACAGAAAGGGTCTGTGCGTTACTAATTTACTCACCCAGACGTGGTTATTGCTGCAATTACAGGTATATCAGTTCCGGTAACTCATAAAATCGGCATTAAAACCAGGACCACGAATGGAACGTGCGCACCGCATAAGAGCTCCAACACAGTGCGTCCAGCATCAGACCAGCAACAGCACAGCAACAGCAAAACGACGGGTCAAAATTTTAGATAGATAGCACTACGAGGGTCAGTAAAGATTTCTAAGTCAGCGGTCAGCGACTTCTGCTCTAGATCTTGTCCTACACGGAGAGTCTGTGTACTGTGTACACTTCCACTTGTCCCCGTTGTTTGTCTGGCTGACCCCGGGTGGAGGTCACACGACACAACCACATGACTTCGTTCTTGGCAAGCGTGCCGAAAGCTGGGTTTGAAGTGGAGGGTTTTTGTCTTTATAATAAGGCAGCTTGTTTTTGGGGCAGACGGCACATTGTAATTATTAAATAGATCTACTGTTTACGGAATATCATTTCCCTTATAAATGGCACTCGATCACGACCGTTTCAAAACACAACACAAAGTCTGGCTCACATTTGATCGACTGATTGCTTAGCAGAGACTGAGAAAAAGAAAGATAATTCTCTTTCTCTCTCTCTCTCTCTCTCTCTCTCTCTCTCTCTCTCTCTCTCTCTCTGCGTCAGATTAAGAGCGAATAAAGCGAACAAGCGTTCCATACTTCGTGATTTTGAAAGGGTTATTTAGTTGGTGGTTGGCGAGTGCTCTGGTGCGGTTTGCTTCTTCTTTCCTATCAAACATCTACCGTCCTTATCATCACCCCTTCTTCTTTTTTAAATGTTTGTTACTCTCTTGTAACACCTCTAATCTTCTGGCGCTCGTATGACCTTATGCAGTTGCGAGCGCCGTAAAACCTCTACTAAAACTTTTTTTTTT